GGTAGTCATGTAGTGGTAGTGGCCTAGTGGAAGACTCCTGGTGGTAGTATCTAATAGTAGTAATGTAGTTCTCCGACCACTCTTCGTTGAGTAAGTTCTCAACGTCGTAAACACCTGCATCATCGGACATGAAAACATAACCACCATTCTCCGCCTCTTCAGCTACCGCATCGTCATTGCTTGTGTATGAGATGTTCAGGTCGAACCCAAAGAAACAAGGTTGTTCAGCTCCCACCCCATCTATGTCGTCGTCGTGGCTCGTGTAGCCGTCCATTATATACTAGCGATAGCGTCAATATATTGTCGGGGAAGTGACGCGGCGGTTATGGAGTGGAAGAATCCAGGAATGGAAGGGGAAGATACACGGGAGGCGGTTATGGTTAGTATCAATCAATCCCACAAATCACGCTCCATAATATTTTCCCCGTGTATCTTTATTTTATTTTCAAAATCAATCCATTAATCTAGTTACACAAAAGTCCTTTCTATTTTATGAACCATCGGATGTAGAAGGGGGATCTACGGCTGGGAAGGGGGAAGCGAAAATCACAACCCCATAGGGGAAGTGACGGTATCCCATCACATTAAAGTTGATAGGAATATAACAAGAAAGAAAAATGGAAGAACAATCTCAAAATACAATCCAACAATCTCACAAAATGTTGAGATTGTAAATCATTCATATTGAATGATTTCAAGTGTCACATCAACAATCAAATGCATGCATTGTATTTCATTTTGAAACAAAAAAAAATGATGCATTCTATATAATACATGCATTCAGTAAATGCAGCATTTAGATATACATATACCAAACAACCCCTAGGAAGAACCTATAATCCTTGATTAAGTGCTATTAAAGAAGTAAAACATACCTCTAGTGAGAAGAGGCAAGTGGTTGTGTGCTGCGATGAGGGGCTGAGGCTTCTAGGATTATCGATGCCAGATTGGGATGATGACTTTGACAGCTTGGCAATAAGCAGAGCGGATTGAAGGCGCTTCAAAGGACAATGATAGAAGAATAAAAACTGAAAGAAAGGAAGCATTATATGGTTGAATATAGTTTGATAATAAGGAGAAAATTGAGTCGATGATTATAAATAACTCTTACCCCTAATTCCATCTCGATCAGTACTCACTCAGTCTTCTAATAGAATAATCCTTCGAGGCTCCAACTGTTTGGATGAGAAACCCTCGAATTTACAGGAACACGAGGAGTCATCTGAATTGATGGCAACAATTTTCCATGTGAGAAATCAAAAGAGGAAATTTGGTAGTACAGAAGTTTTCAACAGAGTGCAGGGTAGTGGGTGGTGTGGATTTACATGGCTACCCATAGGTGCCATGTTTTGGTTGCGTGGCAGGTCACAATTAGGGCTGAAAATGAGTCGAGTTGAGTTTTACCCCAGGTTGAATTTGACTCAGAGGGGGATGGGACACCCCCTAAATTTTGGAAATATGATTATCCAAACTCTGGTGGTAATTTACGTATGGACAAAACAATTATAATTAATAGTCCGGGACGCCCTGAAATTTGAAAAAATGATTATCCTGCTCTCGTTTGTAGTTTGCGTATGGAAATATAAGTGGTAGTTTGGATAATTCAAAGCCGGGACACTACTATTATTAATATATATTTTTTTTAGATTGCAACTTTTTTGTTGTTCTATTCTAAACATTGTCTAATAGCAAAACCTTACTCTCTATCTTTAGTTATTTTCAAAACCTAACAATTAATCTAATTACAATTGCCATTAATTTGCATTGATTTTATGGTTATATGACAAGTGTTGAAAGTGTTTTTCATTTTTGAGTTACATCAAGAACAAATTTAAAATTCGAATATGCGTCAGTTCGTGAATGATTGTCTAGTAGGATATACCGAGAAAAATTTGTTGAGCAGTGTAGATACCAAGTGTATTTTACATTTTTTTCAAAATATGAAAATACATCATAGACTTTTTTAACTTGTACGAGTTGGGTATTTTCTTATTTAAGAATTATTAATTTTTTATTTTACTTTATTTTTTGAAAGAGGACATCCCTATATAAAATTCCTGAGTCCGCCACTGGTTTGACTCGTTAATAAACGAGAGCTCGAGCTAGGCTTGTTTACTAAAATCTTGAGTCGTATTTGATAGTTCATTTTGAATGTCATGTATGGTACATGTGATTGATGTCATGATAAAAAATAATAATAATATTCAAATGCTCAATATTAACTAATCTAATATTATACTTTGCTGGTATCATATTATATAGTTAATAAATTTTAGGACTTTGCTATGGTGACATGCATGTCACGGTGACATGCACTTTTCGGTCGACCTCATATGAGATTAGGTCGACCTAATCTGTTGTTTCAGTGTAAAAACAGTTTTATGGGCACTACTTTGGAGATTCATATCTTACAATTGGCTAAATGGAAATTGGAGATTAAAGGCTTGTTTTGAAGCTGAAGTGTCCCTCTACACATTAAAGTACTTGGGAGCTCAATAGAAAGTCCAGAAGACCATTTTTGAACCTGACCAAAAGGCTATGCCAAAACTGGGAAACTGCCTGAAAATGGCTAAGTCTAGCAAAGTGTTTGTCAAGCCTACTTTGGAGCTCAATTTGAGAAGCATGGATGCGAGTCAAGTCTAGGGGGCCTCTAACACGTTAAATTACGTATTTTATTATGCAAAGTCAAGGCATTGGATGAAAGATTGAATATCTTTAAGGCTTCAAACAAAAGTCTTGAAGTTGCTACGAAGGCTGTTTTTCTGGTAGCTTGCTTGTGCTCGAAGTCTGCCAGAAAAACAGTCTTTGTAGCAACTTCGACCCTTTTGTTTGAAGCCTTACAGATATCCAATCTTTCATCCAATGCCTTGAATTTGTATAAAAACATACCTAATTTAACGTGGTAGAGGCTCCTGGACTCGACTTGCATTCATGCTTCTCTAATTGAGCTCCAAAATAGACTTCACAAACACGTTTCCAGACTTAGCCATTTCCAGGCAGTTTCCCAGTTTTGGCATAGCCTTTTGATGTGGTTCAAAAATGGTCTTCTGGACTTCCTATCGAGCTCTCTTCCACTTCAATATGTAGAGGGACTCTCCAGCTTCAAAACAAGTCATTAGTCTTCAATTTCCATCTAGCCAATTGTATGATATGAATATCCAAAGTAGGCACCATGAACTGTTTTTACACTGAAACAACAGATTAGGTCGACCTGATCCTATATGAGGTCGACCGAATCCTAAATAAGGTCGACCAGATCCTATATGAGGTCGACCGAATTCTAAACGAGGTCGACATAATCCTAACTGAGGTCGACCGGAAAGTGCAAGTCACCGTGACATGCATGTCACCGTAGGCACACCCTAAATTTTAACTAGTCCAACTCATGTTATTTAACAGTATCTAAGCAATCTATGATATAATATCTCTTTTCAAAATAAAAAAATTATATATATTTGCTCGCATATTCAGTGTGTTAAATTCATATAGGGTGAGATATATAAAACAATCACATGAATTAAACTCATAAGATATAGATCGGTTCGTCCATAAGTCGGTAATCAAGTTGGCTCTCTAGCCACAATGTGAGACATCTCACGAGCTCTAACGAGTCAGTTCACGAGTTTAGGTCAACAAGCCACCGAGTCGGGGTTACAACCTGCAGGGTAAGATCAGGTGACTAGGGGAGGATCCTTTAGTCACTTGCCTAAGTCGATCTCAGCCCTTCAAGGTCATTAAAATCCAATGATTTCAATTAGTTCAACGTAATAAAGGGTAATGCAGTCATTGCATGTTTTTTTTTAATTTTCAGTTATTAACTAATAAAAAATTCCTCAACCTATCACTCTCTTCCCGTCGGCGGGAAAATTTTCCAATGGCATCCCCGTACCGTCGTTCCGGGAAGTTTTGGGTGGCGGTCCATTTGCTAGGCAATATTTGCCATTTGCCCCTCCCATGGTACTCCCGAGAAAGAGGATTTTCCGGCGACAACGTCTGTTTTGTTATGTTTGCCGGATGATTTTGTAATGTTTGTAAGTATGTTTTGTGATTTTGTATCAATTCGATTTGTATCATTTATCATTCTAGTTTGTTATTTTTATCTATTATAGTTGTAATGTTTATATGACTAATTTTTTCTAGTTTGTATATTTATGTTGTGATTTGTATACTTTGTATTCATTGATTTGTAATACAAGTTTACTATTTTGTATTGTAAGTGTGACATTTTGTACTGTCAGTATGTTTGTAATGTTTTTCGGTCTAACTTGTATAGTTCGTATGTTTTGTCGCTCTAGTTTGTATTGTTCTTATATTTGTATGATTTGTACTATTTGTAAATATGGTTTGTATACTTCGTAATTTTCCATAATACCCAAACCAGGGGCGGACCAGGGGACACCCCTAAATTTTGGAAGATCGATTATCCAACCCCAGGTGGTAATTTATGTATAGACAAAAAAAATAATGACTAATAGTCCGGGACACCCTAAAATTTGAAAAAAATGATTGTACTACTCTCGTTTGTAGTTTGCGTATGGGAATATAAGTGGTAGTTTGGGTAATTCAAACCCGGGACACTACTATTACTAATAAATTTAATTTCCATTAGACTACAACTTTTTTGTTGTTATATTCTAAACACTGTGTAATAGCAAAACCCTATTCTCTATCTTTAATTATTTTCAAAACCTAACAACTAATCTAATTACAAGTTACTTAATTTGTATCGATTTTATGGTTGTACGACAAGTGTTGAAAGTGTTTTTTCAGCTTTGAGTTACATCATGAACAAATTTAGAAGTAAAATATGCGTTAGTTCGTGAATGATTGTATAGTAGGATATACCGAGACAAATTTGTTGAGCAGTGTAGACACCAAGTGTATTTTATAATTTTATTAGAATATGAAAATACATCATTGACTTTTTTTAACTTGTACGAGTTGGGTATTTTCTTATTTAAGAAAAATATAAATTTTATTAATTGTTAATTATTTAATTTTTATTTTACTTTATTTTTTTGAAAGGGGACACCCTTATGTAAAATTCTTGGGTCTGTCACTGACTCAAACTGCCCCTCTCATTAATTAAAAAGCTCTTCCTACCTTTTAACTGTCAGATTGATGTGCCGAGATCTAATGGTTGGGACTAAGCACTCCCTAAGTCACCTCTCCATAAGACCACAACCTGCTCCTAGGATGGGTTGGGTTTGGCCCGCCCAGCACGGGCCGGGTCGGGTTTGTTGACTTACTCCATTTGGTTATGCATTTCGTGCTCCCCCCCCCCCCCCTCCTTCTCCGGTCTGGATAGTTCCCTTTCCCCACATACGCACACAGAGGACGAACGCCGGGAAAGATACAGAGCAAAAAGTCGGGGATTAGGGTTTTGAAGGTTGGGAAATATAATCACTGGGGATGGAAATAGTGGAGAAGAAGGAGGTGGAGAATCATAATAACGCGCAATCGATCTTACCCGGCGATTCCCTGGCCTCCGACGTTGTCGATAAAGAGGCAGAAGAGCGCCAAGCGCGTGAACTCAAAGCCGGTTTGCACCCTCTCAAGGTTCTCCTCTTTCCCTCTCTCTCTCTCTCTCTCTCTATGCTGCTGCGGGTTGGGGTTGCTGTTGATTAGAATGATTTTGCTATGCCTTTCGATCACATGTGATGTGAGGAAGTGCGTTGGCTATGTTGGTTGATTTTTGTTTTTTATTTTTATTTTCCCTTCTCTTTTGAATTTGAGAAGAATGACGGGCAGATGATATGGATAAATTACCCTTGTTTTTTTGCCCAGTCGGAGGACGAATGAGCTAGCTAAATGGGAGTCTTACTATAAGATTGAAATTGAGTTAGCTCGCAGGTTCGAGCATTGCATATTTGCATTGGACTCGGTTTACCTGGTTTTTGTTCTGCCTAACTGACTTCATGTTCCGTGAGGACAAATTTTGGATTGCTAGGATTGTCTGGGTCAGATTGTAAACTGGAATCTCACGGTATGGTTTATGAAATGATTATGTTTTGTATTCGGGGATGGCAAAAGCTTGGAAGGTTTCAATCTTTGTCTCGAAGTCTTGTTTAAGTCATGGGCTTTTTGTAATTGGGATTCAGAAGAGACCACAGCTCTGATATGTGCTCTCGAATTCAGATGTCGTTTGATGGATGCTGGTTTGTGAAGTTTAAGCATCGAAATTGGAGTCTGATGCATTGCTTATGTGGTTGATGTGGGAGTTTGAGTGGATGTCAGGATTGTCACTGATATATTAGCCTGCTGAAAACTTACACAGTTGCTTCATCTGTTTTGTCACAGTATATGGCTACTTTTCCTTTCTGAAATAAATTTCTATCTGAGTACGGGATTGTTTATTGCTGTGTGTGATCAGTACAAATATGTATTCTGGTATACTCGCCGAACACCAGGAGTCAGAACACAGACCTCATATGAAGACAATATAAAGAAAATTGTTGGTTTCAGTACGGTAAGTTCCTTTCTCCAATAAAAAAGTTTGATGTGATTTATATATAACTAACTGAAGTTCGGTCATCTCATTTTTAACCCCTTATATTTGTGATTGGATTTTCTACGCAGGTTGAAACTTTTTGGGTCTGCTATTGCCACTTGGCTCGCCCCTCTTCTCTGCCAAGTCCTACGGATCTGCATCTTTTCAAGGAGGGTATTCGCCCTTTGTGGGAGGTAAAGCTTCATTGCAAGATCCATCTGTAGCATAAGCCATTGTGTGGGCTAAGTTCCTTGTTTCATCACCTGCTTTTGGGAATTGATAACAGGACAGTGCTAATTCCAGTGGTGGGAAATGGATAATACGATTCAAGAAGGTCGTCTCTGGTCGCTTCTGGGAGGATCTGGTAAGAGCCAAATTTTCAGGATCCTTACATTATGGTCAAGTAAAGCATGCATCATTTTATATAACCATCCGTAGTTGAGCTAATAAACTGTCTTTCACTATTTCAAACCTGTGGACACGCTCCTGTTGCCCCAATTCAGATTACGAAAGTGAAATTGTCTGTCACATATTTTAATCCCTCAGTGACTTCAAATACTTTGTTCCATTGATAACTCACCTCCGAGTCTGAACTTGTGCATTCAGGTTCTTGCCTTGGTAGGTGACCAACTTGAGTACAGCGATAGCATTTGTGGTGCAGTATTAAGCATCCGATTCAATGAAGATATACTGAGCGTATGGAATCGGAATGCATCTGATCATCAGGTTATTAATAATTCTTCCCCTTCCGTTTATGTATTCCTTTTTATCTCTTGATATATCTGAGCAAGTGAAGAAGTCCCCGCTTATATGGGAGTGACAAGAGGGGTTGTGTTGTTTATGCCCTAACTGTGGTTGCTTGGCTATTGTTTTAGGCTGTGATATCTCTGAGAGACTCAATCAAGAGGCATTTGAAGCTTCCGCACAGCTACGTGATGGAGTACAAGCCCCATGATGCTTCTCTTCGTGACAACTCATCTTACAGAAACACATGGCTGAGTAGATAGCTTGTAGCGCCAGAATGGGAAATGAAAGTGTGGAGAAGCTGTTATTGTCTTATCCTCGTGTTATGCTCCACTTGCAAAACATGGCCCGAGGATCCATAAACTTTGTACTGCCAGACAACCTGTGTAAGGATGGTGTTCTTGATCTTCTCGTTGGTTGAACAGTGAATGACAGTGCTGGTTTTGTTGTCCGAAAAATGTTTGGTCTTTTTGGTTTGTTCAGATCAAACTGAAACCGATAAGCCCCTTATTTATTTCGATTTCTGGAGAAGTGACTGTTTCGAGTTCCAATTTTTACAGCTTAATAGTTAGGCTAAGCAAACCCAACCGAGAGCCCTATTCAGTAAAACAAGAGTAACCATATGGTTAAAAGATTTGACGAACTTATCCATGAATTAGATTTGATGAGCTTATCCATGAATCAAGGGAAAATCAAATGGGGACAGATCAAGATTTAACATTTATATATTTACTGTGTCCGGAATCCGAATGTGAGACTATTTCACAGGCAGCCCGCTATCAGGACTTGAAAGAAGCACAGCTGCACAGCTTCTTTAATCGTCTTCTCCATGGATCTTTCTTCAGGGCGCAGTGAACTGTCAACCCTACACAGATGATGGAAGGCCGACGATGCCTGGCACGGTGCAAATAGACAACAGTTGTTAAGTATCTAATGGAAGTAATTGGCCACAGAACTTGGAAATGGCAATCTCGGTTTATGGAGAGAGAACATCCGAGTTACCACAAAATATACTCTCAACGGAAAATATGATATTTGTGTAATGATAAATTGATAATATAGTATATACGATTTACAGGAATTAGGGGTGTCTGTTCGGTTCGGATAACCGCACCTGAAACACACAAACCCGAAAAAACCCGGAACTGCATTTGCATGTAACCCGAAATGTTTTCTTGTGGGTTTCGGGTACCCGAACCCGAAAATTGTGTCAGCGGTTTCGGTTCGGTTAGCTTGAACCTGAAAACCGAACGTCCTCCTCCTTGAACACTCCGCCCAACAACATCTGTTGTTTCATTCTTAATTCCAAAACCCCAATTTCTATTCCATTCCTTCTTCTCCTCGCCTCCACTCCCACCAACACCTGCTTGTTACTTTTCAATTCCTTCTCATCCTCACCCCATAATTGTTCCAACCCCTACCGCACCCTCCTGCTTCATTGTTGCTTTTGCATCCTCTGCCACCATCCCACCACCACGAGAATTGTTCGGATCAACGAAGCTAGGAAAGGAATCGACGAAACCAGGGGAGGAATTGAATCTGGGAAACCATAAAACTAGATCGGAGAAAGCTTTCGATGCTGCGCCCGACGTTACGACGTACCCAGATGCGCCGCCGACGAGGAAAGCTTCGACCTGAACGGAACCAGATCCGTCGCCCAATGTTACCCAGTTGCGCTGCCGACGTGGAAAGTTTCGATCTCGAACAGACCCAGATGCGCCGCCTGACGTTACCCAACTTCGATCTCGAACGAAACCAGATGCGTCGCAGACGTTACACAGAATCCCAAATGCGCCGCCTGAATCGTGGGAGGCTAAACCACCTCTGTACTCACCTCATTCCTCTGTCAATGCCTTGAAATAAAAAGGCTTGAGAGTTTCAGATGAGATGAGAAAGTCTCGAAGACTGAAGTCGAATTGCTAAACCCGAAAGGGCATAACGCATAGCTGAGGTCGGTATCGGGTTTTTCGGGTTCTTATCGGGTTTCGGGTTACAACGAAACCAATAAACTGCATATTCGAGTTGAAACCGAAAACCCGAACCCGACAACACTATTATCGGTTTGGTTTCGGTTAAACCCGAAAACCCAAAACCGAACCGACACCCCTAACAGGAATACATATTCGTCCAACAAGAAAAATATATTCTTATAATAGATAGTAGTATGAAATCAAGCCTTCTAGAATATGATATTTATGTTATGAGAATATGATATTCATATTCTTGAAGGCTTGATGATATTTATAGTATGAGAATATGATATTCTTGAAGTTTTGATTTCATACTACTAAGTATCTATTATAAGAATACATTTTTCTTGTTGGACGAATATGTATTTCTATAAATCGTATACTATATTATCATTACACAAATATAATATTTTCCGCTGGGAGGACGTCTTCCCAACAGTTGGTGGGAGGACCACATCCAATCCGAGTTACCACACCCAACTCTTGCACCCGCGTTTGCATTAGTAGTCTTGCTGAGCTCATGCCTACCTGCATTTCCTTCACAATAAACATACAAGCAAAGCAATCAAAATCCGGATTTAAATTATAAAATCCTACAATTTACCATTTTACTTAACTTTTTTATCATGATTTCACTATAAAATCTATGTACCTGAAAATCCTACACGATTCACGATTTAAATTCTTAAAATCTTACGATTTCTATTCAAATTTATGGGTCAAGTTTACTTATTTTTCCTAGAAGTTAAAAAACTATGCCTCTTTTCCTTCTCCTCTACCAAAATTATCTAGTTCTCTCACACTAACCACCATCGACTATCATCAGTTCACATTATCGATTCACCACTTCTCAACATTAATTGGACCCGTTCTCTGAAATTTCAATCCATGTTTTGCACAAAACTTGATCATTGGCCTCCTTCCAATTCGGCGGGGCGATTGCTTTGAGACATAATCAGGCGTTTGGGAGGAAGGGATTTTTTTATGAGAAGAAGATGAGTATCACAATTAGGGATGACAATTACCCACCCATGGGTAAATTTATCCAAACCCAAATAGATCTATTCATTATTGGTAGGGTATGAATGAAGTGTGTATGGGTTTGGGGGTTTGCAGATGAGTTTGGGTAGAGCATGGATCTTGCTTTGGTAATCTAAATGGGTATGGGTTGGGTATGAATACCCATTTAGTTGAGTATATTTTAACTATACATACAAAAATAGGACATATTTGTAAAACTAAAACAGTTTAGGTATGAAAATGTAATATGCAAAAAATTTAGGTACTAAAATGTAATTTTCTATCGATATTTTGAGGAATTATATGCAAAAGGATTAAATTTAGATGCTAAATGTAAAGATCTATTAAGTTTAGGTAACCAAACTATAATTTGCAAATGGATATGGACACAAACCCAAATCCATGGATTTAAAACCCAACCCAACCTAAATAAATGGGTATGAACATGAACTTATCAAACTCTACCCAACCTAAATAAATGAGTATGGGTATAAACTTATCAAACTCTACCCATTTACCATCTATTTGGATTTCATATCCAATAGGGATGGCAATTTTACCCATACTCATGGGTATTTTACTATCCAACCCAATTAGGTTGGGTATGGAATCCAAATAGATGGTTGATGGGTTTGTACCCATTTACTTGAGTTCGGTTGGATTGGATTTTTAACAAATAGATTTGGATTTGTACCCATGCCCAAATACAAATTACAATATGGTACCTAAACTTAATAGATACACATATTTAGTACCTTTTTTTTTTGCATATACGTCCTCAAAATATCAATGGAAAATTATATTTTAGTACCTTTTTTTGTCGACATTTTGGTACCTAAACTTTTCAAGTTTTACAAATAGGTCCAATTTTTATATGTGTAGTTAAAACAACCTCAAGTAAATGGATATCCATATCCAACCCATACTCATTTAGATTATGAAAGCCTAACCTAAACCCATCTACAAACCCCCAAACTCATATACACCTCACGCATACCCTACCCTAAATGAATGGGTCTACTTGGGTTTGGGCAAAATTACCCATGTTTGGGTAAATTGTCATCCCTAATATCCAATTCAATTGAGTTGGATAGTAAAATATACATGGGTATGGACAAAATTGTCATCCCTAATCACAATTGGAGAGAAATAGGAGGAAGAAAATGGAAGTGATGAAGTAGAAGTGAAGGAATTGGTTGTATTTGTAGAGAAATTTGGCAAAAACTACTTGTTGGGACTGAAAAAGCCATTGGGAGAGAGTGTGGGTGCTGAAATGTATTTTTTTTTAACTAAAAAAGGATCTATTACAGGAAGTGCAGCGTGTGGCACGTGTGTAGCAGACGCAAGGGCGGGGTTGGCGGAGCGCGCGCCTAGCGTGCAATCGCCCCCTTCGGCGCGTCGACTTTCCCTCTTCTTGTGGTCCTGCCTGGTTTTGGACTTTCTGGTCCAAAATTTGACCCACATTCAAGATCAAATGGAACTTTTGGATCTTTAAAACCACACTAAAGTGATCTTGGTCCAATTTTTTGGAATTTCAGCCCACCACTAAAGTTGGTCTAAGGTGATAGTATGAAGCAAACTCAATTAGCGGGCCAGCTACGTTGCCAAGTAAACTTCATTTATAATGAGATAATAACAAACCGATTCATAAAAAAGACAAATATCACACCTAACATTTATAGTTAACCCTCATATCAAGGTTTGTTTCGTGCCAATTCATGTGCATAAATGCTTGAATATCGTCGATTACATCCCTATTTCGTTCCTATGTGAATTCAATGTGATTTTAGGGTGTATTAGACAATATATGTGAATTATGTACAAAACAAGGTCACATGTGTAGCAAAGGGGCAGGAAGCTGAAGATCGTGGCCTGGAAGCTAAAGATCACGGCCGAGAAGATAGACCGCAAACTCAAGTCAAAGATTGCGGCCCGGAAGCCCCATATCACGGTCGCGAATGGTAGGGCTTAGAGGGCAAACTTCATGAGGAAGGAGCCAAGGAGAAACAGAGAGTTCCCACAGTCAAACCACTGTCATAGTGTTATCAGACTGCGAGGAAGAATGCGTCCGCAACTAGTGGATCGCGACTGCGAAGTCAGCCCACGATCTCATCATTTCTGAAGGCCATGACAACATTGTTCCAAGATCACGGTCTCACTTTCGAAGATCATGACCGCAATCTCTGTGCTTCTGGCCGCGAATTTCTCCGTCCCTAGATTGCCTATAAATAGAAGACCCCTCTCTCCTTTTTAGATGTGCTGATTTTGAGAGAAATTTCTAGTTTTAGAGAGAGAGAAGCTGAAGGAAGGAGAAGAAGGAGCTAGAAGAGAGGGTGCATCTTTCTCAACCCAAGTCTTCTTCAATTTATTTTATGTTTCTTCTTTCCTCCTTTACGGAGTAGTCCTCTAAAGTACTAGGGGTTCTAAACCCAAACCCTAGTTCTAGTGTTTATTATGTATGTATGAATAGTTTTAGAGTTTGAATGAATGAATGTGTTTATCTAGTTGATTCTATTGCTATTCTATCATTGATTGTGTTTGGGTAAGTCTCCCTAATCTTCTTTATTAGCCTACTCTATGCTTCTACGCTAGGTAGGAAGTTCTAGGGTCAGACGGGTATGCGCTATCAAGCCAATCGTGATAGATGTATGAATAGTGCCCTATGGTGGTCGAGGCGACCGAACCCCTACCGTAGGTTAGCCTTCTTAGATAGAACCCGGGATAAAACCTTAGTGTGGACAGTTGATAGTGTCCATTGAAATGAGCCATAAGCTTAATTCCCCATATACGATAGCCTAGATCGAGGTGACTATATATGGGTTTAGGGGAGGCGTACTCAGAGGCGTGTGGATAACCACAAAATCTCAAGAGCTCGCTCACCACATTCGATAACCCTAAGTATTTATACAAGCATAGTGACCCTAAGCTAGGGTGAGGATTAGTTCCCTGAAGTACCTACTTTTAGTTTTGATCAATCTCTAGTCTAGTTATCTCCTCAAGTCCTCCACTCAAACCTCCAAAACCGATTAACTAATTAGCAACTAGGTGGGAAGTAGGCTAGGGTACCAGAAACCGAGAAAAATACGACCTTGATTGCCACTATAAGACAATGTCATCTTAAGTTAAACTTGGCTTAGGATGGAGTAGTTGTTGACACGTGCTAACCACTGACAATAACGTGCATGGATTGAACCGATCAAATACCTTGGGTAGCACTTAAATTTGAGAATTGGGCTAGACATACCATTTAAGTTTGTATAGGGCGTCGGGTAGCATTAAAGTCACCAAAAGGTGCATCCGTCTAGTTTTCCATCCAATTTAAACTTTTTCATACTTTTAATTACCTTTTGGTACCCAAAACTTTTAAAAACATCCAAAACTATATTCCAACAAGTATGATCTAATATAAAGATTAGAATACATTCCAAACATAGTATTTTTTAATGGGACTTCTAAACATAGCATTACTATAATGGCTAATGAAATATTTTCAATAAAATAGATAAATTAGTCAAAATAATAAATGAATATCAAGAAGAAATAATAAATATACTAGAAGATAATAATAAATATTTAAAATTAATATTGCAAGATATATTTAAACCCCTAATCCAATTAGAAGCACTTTGAATCCATCTCTTCAATTACCTCTCAAATCATACATTATCCATGTAAATTCTGTTCACTTACCAAATTGAACATCAATATATTAAGACGAAAGAAGAATAAACAGAATACAATAAGAAAGAATTAAACATATATTAGTAATTAAAAAAAAATAGAACGAAAAAAGACGGAAAGTAGCCAAGCAATAAGTAAACCATAAAAGCTACAACATTCAATAACAAATCTAGAAAATAAAATATGACTATAAGAAGAGAATTAAAATTAGTAAGTTTAACTAATATGTTACATCTACAATATAATATTAGAGAATTACAATGAGATTTAATATGAAAAATTAGACAACATCAATATGATATAAGAGAACTAAATATAACATCCCCAAATTATTTATATCTAGACAGAATTCATAGGATATATTTGCTTTAGGAAATATTTTAATTATTAGAACACATAATGATAATTAAAATACTTATATTGATAATTGATTCTAAATTTTATATTAAAAATTGGTTCGATATAGAGTTTTCAAAAGATGATTCTAACTAAAGAATAAAAAATTATGTTTTTCATAAGTGCAAAGGATTTTTGCCAATAAGAAAAGTAGAAGGACCAATTCTGAAATTTCGAAAGTAAAATATTCTAAGAATATTCTTTCAACTTTAACAGAATGCACTTGACAATCAATTTAAGTTGTATTGGGTGCACATATAATAGAGTTTAGTTACACGCGATATTTTTTCCTTAATTAAGTGGTATAGTTGTCTCAATTTTCATACTTTACTAATATACGACGTATTTTTCCCAGGAAAGGATAGTAATTCCAAATCCTAACCTAAGTGGGCCAGAGAGGCAGACCGGGCCTCAGGGTAGGTAGCAGAGCTAAAGATCAAAAGACAGAGGGAAACCGAAACATGGCCTCTCTCGGGTTAATTCCCAAAAATTTTTTTTTTTTAGTTTACCATCAATATGGCGGTTTTAAAAGTATTGACACAAATATTGTGTTTTGTACAAAAAAAACACTGTGTCCGCCCGAGACTCAGTCGAAGCCGCTTTTTAGGCTTTACTGAGCGGACCCGCCCGAGACTGGGGCGCTGGCGCTGTTTTCTGTATTTCGCCAGTGGACATAATACATGCCCAGCGGGTCCGCTAGAGAGTGAGACGGGTTTGGTGGCAAATTTGACCAGCGGGGCTGCCCAAGTCTGGGACTGATTCGCTGCCTTCCCAAAACACTCCAGCACCATAAAACCCAATCTTCCTTTCAGTTGCTCACCACAAAAAAGAAACAGATGTTGCGAAGCTAAACGAGAGGAGCTTTGCTAGTTGCTGCAAAAGATGGCTAATTGGTAAGAGACACATTTATTTTTTAAATTATATTCTTAAAATTTTATTATTATTTTGTTTAGGTAATTAGTGAATTTGTTTTTTATGTAGTGATTTTAGAAGATTTGAACTAGTCGTTTGGTGGAAATCGGAGAAAGTAGAGGACAATTTGGGCGTCCATTTCGTTGGTGGTAGATGTTTTCAGTTGACAGTTCCATCCAGGGTGACGTATCACCAATTTTGTGAGAATCTAATTCCGAGGATACGGCGTAAAGACGAAGCATTACAGGATAGTGATACAATCACAGGTTTCACTTACTGTCTTCCAGAATGGCAGAATGGTGTTATATTTCATTATGTGATGCCTATTGTGGATGATGATAGCTTGAATGTGCTTTTCGCTTTTATGTCACAAAATTCTTATTGTTTGGGTGCTGAGGTACATGATGAGATTAGTGAGAATCAGGGTGGTGAGGAAGAAGATGAGACATGGAGTGTGCCATCTGATCATGACTATGATGACAGAGAGGAAGAAGATGAGAATGATGAGGAGGAGGAGGATGGGGAAGAAGAGAGCAGTCTAACTATCCCCCATAATTTTACTTGCGGGGTAATGAAGAGGACGACGAATTATCATATGCTGATTCATATGATGTAATTTAAATGCCTATTGTTGCTAGTTTTGAAGGATAATTCTATAAGGGGCAGATATTTCACTCGAAACAAGCTGCACAGGTGGCGATTAAATACCACACACTACAACGCAACTTTCAATATGTCGTGGTTGATTCGTCACCTTCAATCTGAAAGGTCAGATGCTTGAAGTACAAGGATGACAATTGTGCTTGGATGGTGCGGTTTGGATGTCGAGATGTTGGAAGCGAATGAACTATGAGAAAGGCCGAGTTGGTGCATTCTTGTAGCAGTACAACTCAACCGACGGATCATCGCCATCTTGATGTATACTTTATATCTGAGTCCGTGAAGCATTTGGTATGTGCCCAACCAAATCTGAGTGCTCTAACTGTGCAGGCCGAGTTGAAAGATAAGTTTAATCTGCAAGTTACTTACAAGAAGGCTTGGTATGGGAAACAAAGAGCATTGGAGAAGTTGCATGGAAATTGGGAAGAATCCTACGATTATTTGCAAACATTCATGCGGGTGGTAAAGAGAAAATTGCCAACATTAGTGATTGATTGGGCAAGAGTTCCTTCATCGCAACCAGATCATTTGATCTTTAAGCGAGTATTCTGGGCTTATGGACCTTGTATAGATGGATTCAAGAATTGTCCAAGAGTCATGGTTGTTGATGGAACATTTCTTACTGGAAAGTATAAAGGAGTGCTACTCATGGCGAGCTCATTTGATGGCCGGAAGAAGATTTTTCAAATTGCATTTGTCATAGTGGAGAGCGAGAATACTGATAGTTGGCCATGGTTCATATGACACATTCAAGGTTTGACCGATCGAAATTATGTATGCATCATCTCAGATAGACATGCAAGACTCTATGAAGCCATGAGTGACATCGGAATAGGTTGGGAGTGGAGGTGGTGCATGCGACACTATGCAAGCAACTTGCAAAGGAAGAATAAAAGCAAGATTATGTATAATCAAACTTTTTGAGTGGGTAAGCCTTCATTGTTATGGTTATTTACTGTTATTTATGATTTATTTTCATTTAATTTTGTAATTGATATATATATATATATATATATCTAACTTGAGTGGTTATTTATTGTGTTAGCCGGAGAAAAACGCTTGGAGAAGTTCGATCGTCAAGTTGAGCAATTTAAGAAGATGGTCGCTGATAGAAATATTTCTTGTGATAACTGGGTGGACCAACATCACTTCATCGGAGCTTAGCACATGATAGCTATAATGGTGGAAGTCGATGGTCTATCCTGACTTCCAACATGGCAGAGAGCATCAATGGTGTTTTCAAAGGTATTCGTTCACTTCCTATAGCTTCTCTTGTGCAACATACTTATTGGCGATTATTGTAAAAATGAGATAAGATGAGGTTGGAGACAGAAGCAAAAATCAGAAGTGGTCATTCACAGTACACCAAACCATGCGAAGAACTGATGAAGTCGTGGGCACAAAAGACAGTAGGACATACCGTGGTGGGGCTATGCAGTTCACACTCCTCCCAACAATTTCAACATGACAAGTTCGAACACACTCACAGTACACTTCAACGAGGAAAATCGGGTAGGATTTTGCACTTGTGGGAAATTCCAAGGAATAAAATTCCTTGCTCTCATGTCATTGCAACTTGCAATCGAATGGGGGCTAACCCGTATAGGTTTGTAAACGACATCTATAAGCTTGAAACAGTGTTTGCTTGTTATGGGACAAATTTCACACCTCTTGGTGAACCTAAGGGTTGGAATAAGCACAATGACCATACTCTCCATCCTAATGTTCACATGATTAGGAAGTCGGGGAGGCCACAATCAAATAGAATTCACAACGAGATGGATTGGCCAAGACAGGGTGCAGCGCAACAAGTGTGTAGGAACTGTAACCAATTTGGACATAATGCATCAACTTGTGGTGGCCAAACAAGTGGCAGTGGTAGCCATCGAAGAGGAAATGGTAGCCAGCGATGTGCGGGAGGTGGTAGAAGAGGAACTAGGGGTAATAGACGTGGTATGTAGTTTGGTGGAGAAGGATGGGTGTGGCTTGTATTCATGAGAGACTGGACAAAGCTTTGTGCTCACAGACCTGGATTGATCTATACCCAGATACTCTGGTGAAACACTTCACGGATCAGGGTTCTGATAATCAAGCTCTTCTCCTCTCTGACAAGTCCTATACACCGAATAGTTGACCCCTCTTCCGCTTTGATGCTCGTTGGGCTGATAATCCGGAGGTAAAGGCGATGGTGAACTTTGTATGACTGGAGGAAATTCTAGGAACTCCTATGTTTCAACTTTGGGAACGTCTTAAGAACCTACGCCATTTGTTCTATGACTGGAGTAGGGCAGGTACTACGAATTCCCTTCGGAACATTAAAATTTAAAACTCTCCGGGCTAAGATTGAACGGATAAAATTAATCCATCCTATAAACTGGGATGAGGTCCGAAACCTGGAATTGGAGCTAAATCGCCAATGGGAGGCTGAGGAGATCTATTGGCAACAAAAATCTAGTGTCAGATGGTCGAAGAAAGGAGATTAAAATACGTCTTATTTTCATACGGTTACGAGGACTACGAGAAAATGAAATTTTGTGTCTGGCCTCCGTAACGACAGTGGGGAATGGATCACTGAGGATACTGGAAAGGTAGAAATTACCACTAATTTTTATCAGACTCTTTTCACCTCGAAGAATCAGGTGTTGAACATGGCTGAGAGGGTGGGTGATCTTCCCATAGCCCAGAGTGTTACACCGGTTATGAATGCCATTCTTACAACTGAAGTCCTTCCTTGTGAGTTAAGAAAAACGGTTTTCTCTATGGAGTCTAAGTAGGTGCCAGGCTTTGATGGGTTCACTGGAAAATTATTCAAGGCCTTCTAGGATATTGTTGGGGACTTTTTGATTGATGTTGTCTGCTCTTTCTTTTCCACGAGTAAGATGGTCCGTAGTTTCAATCATACGTTGATCCCTAAAGTAGACAATGTGGAAACCATGAGACAACTTCGTCCTAGCAGCTTATGCCAGTTTGTGTACAAAATTATAACCAAAATCATGGCTGAACGGCTTGCTTGTCTCTTGCCACAAATCATTTTAGAAGGTCAAAATGCGTTTATCCGTGAACGACAAATAGTGGAGAATATCCTCCTTGGATATGAGTTAATGCACTATTTAAAAATCAAAACACGTGGTAAGAAAGGGTACATGGGTCTAAAGATTGACATGGAGAAATGCCTATATAGAGTCGAATGGCCATTTCTTCTTGTTGTTTTGAGCAAAATGAGTTTTAACTCCATCGGGAGAGGATGGATTCATGAATGCCTTAAATCAACATTGTTTTCGGTTCTCGTGAATGGCACCCCTTCGGGTTACTTCACCTCTTCCAAGGTACTTCGGCAAGGAGATCCTCTTTCTCCACTTCTGTTTGTGCTCTGCACGAAAGGGTTTGCGGCGCTCATTAGAAAAGCCATTTCGGAACGCAAACGGGAAGGAGTCAAAGTGGCTCCTTGCGCTCCCCAGATCTCACATATGTTTTTTGCCGATGATTCTTATTTATTCCTTCAGGGCTCTCTCCAGGAATGTGAGAATTTGATCGAGGTTTTGAATAAGTATGAGGAACTTAGTGGCCTTAGGGTGAACTCGGCTAAATTGGCAGTTTGCTTTAGTAAGAATATTGCTCTGCCAGACCAGGAATTCTTGGCTCAGATTTTGGGTGTGGGGGCGATAGGGGTCCATGATAAGTATCTTGGGTTGCCGACGATGATTTCCCGGTCTAAAATGGATACTTTTCGGTATTTGGAAGAGAAGTTGCTAGAACGACTCCAGGGCTGGAAACAGAGGACTTTATCTTGGGTGGCTAAGGAAACTTTGATTAAATCAGTCGCTCTAGCTTTGCCTCTGGATGTTATGTCCTGTTTCAAGTTACCTATTTCCCTGTGCCATCTCTTGGACAAACATGTGATCATATTCTAGTGGGGTGTTGAAGAGGGCCAGCCGAGGATTCGGTGGATTTCCTTGCGTAATATGTGCAGGAGTAAACATGATGGGGGTATGGGATTTCGCCGATTTGAATATTTTAATCAGGCTCTGTTAGCCAAAATGGACTACGTATCCTTAATGAACCACATTCCCTCTTAGCCTAGGTTTACAAAGGGAATGTTTTTTCCGATTGGTACCTTCCTCTGTACCACGGCTCGATCTCGCCCATCTTGGGGTTGTCAGAGTATCCTTTATGGCCGACAATTATTAGAGAAGTGATTAAGATGGCAAATTGGGAATGAACAAACTGCTTCTCTGCTTCATTCCAATTGGATTCCTCGGTTACATCCCTCTCCCCCGATATGTAATCTCCAAGTGTTATCGGACGGGGGTGACCCGCCTGTAGCCAAGGCTATCTGTCAAGGGGAGGGACGGTGGTGTGATCTAAACTTAGCAGTGGTTTGACCCTCCAACATGTCGTGCCATTAAAGCTATTCCTCTTCCACGACAAAATGTGGAGGATAGACTGATCTGGCATGCCACGGCTAACGGGTGTTCACTGTTAAGTCGGCCTACCATTTTACTCTCTTGCTTGATTAGAGGCAGGGTCTCTGGAGGTCCCTGGCTAGTTGGATGGATAAGGCCAGTTGGATTCGTCTATGGGAGGCTAATATTCCGCCCAAATTGAAAGTATTTGTCTAGCAAATCTTTAAATGTATACTGCCAACCACTGAAGCCCTTATCGAGAAGGATGTCCTCGTGCTTCCCTGATGTCCGGTTTGTTGGGCTGATTCGAAAACAATGGAACACTCTTTTCTTGATTGCCCGGTGACGAGAGCCCTTTTGGACTATTTGGGTATGGAGTATCTTGGGCAAGAGCTGCCTCGTCAAACTTTACCGCTATTTCTAAAAAACTTGATGTCCGTAATTCATCAACCTTCTTTGTTCATGGCAAATGTTGTTGTTCTTTGGAGGATCTGGCGGTCTCGTAATGGTTTGTCTTTGAGGGTAAATAGTTTGGGATCCCTGCCTTGATGTGTAAATTTAACCAACAATATGAGGAGTGGGTAAGTTTGCCGATGGATCGTGTCCTTCAGTCTTCCGCCCCTTTTATACAACACTTGGGTCCTGGGGGGTCTATTATGGCTGTTTGTATGTGGGATGAGACAACAAGGAGTGAGTCTCATTCGGTTGGCAGGATGGTTATTATGTACCCAGCAAGGGAATATTGTGGTGGAGTTGCTTGTGCTCCGGGAGGCAATATTGTGGTGTCTCGGCCATGGCTTCACGAAAATGAGGTTTGAAGGCGATGCCAAAGTCCTCATTGAGAAGATCAATAGGGCTGATATCAGAGATAACCGAATGGGGCTATTCTTGAAGAAATCGTGCATTACTTTGCCGCTCATTCAGGTTTTAGTGTTCGATTTGTAGGTCGGCGTAGCAATAGGGTAGCCCATATGGTGGCTAGAAATACCCTCTCTCTGTACCCGATTATGAGTCGTTTGTTTGACTTTTAGGCCTGGCTGAATTCCAAAATGTAACTACCTATTATTTGAATCAATATATGATTATCTTTTGTTAAAAAAAGTGATAAATTAAAAAAAAACAATATTTTGGGAATGTGTGACCTGCTGATTGTGTGACTTCGGATGCAGAGGCTTTGTTCGTAACTCGGGGCATTGGCCAGCCTTGGACGGATGCTCGGTTGGATACTGGGGAATGGAGTCGTTTTGGATTGTTTGATGTTTGGGCTCTCTTTGTCTGTCGTTGAGTGGTTTTTTCGGCTAGCAGGAGTGGCTTGATCCACTTATCTAGTGACTCTGTTTTCCGTTCTTTTTTTTTTCTTTTCCTTTCTGTTCCTCGGTGTTCTATTTTGATTCCTTGTTGGGAGGTGCTTTGGTTCATTCTCTTGTGAACCTCCGCTTTCCAAACCTTTTGTTTTCCTCTTTTTTTCGTTTAATGCAATTCAATCACCATTATAAAAAAAAAACTCATCTCTCTCATAGTCGGTGCCAAGTGGTAGGCCTCGCCGGCTCGCCTCCTCGCCCCGCTTTCTCTCAAATGGCAGTTACAAATTTCCCTTTTCAAATTCAAAAACAAAAAAATCCCTCCTTTCCCCCTCAAATAAATTATAGCTAATAACAATTTTTCAAAAAAAGCAAAAAGATAAATAAGTAAAGAAAACGGCTGTTTCCCCGTCAGACGAAACCAGTCGTCCAGAAAACATAAATTAGGGATACAGGAAAGAAAAGAAAGAAAAGGAGAAATCTTTTGTTTCTTTACTTTCTCTCTCACTTTTTCAAATTCTATCTCCGATTTTGAATCTACTTTGCCTCTTTTCCTTCTCGCCCCAATTCTCTCTGTTTTGGGTTATCGAATCGAGAGACAGAGAGAGAGAGTTGGATTGGGATTCGGCTCAGCTCTTCAGGGTTCAAGGAAAAGGGAAAATGAGAGAGGTGATTAGCGTTCATATTGGACAAGCTGGAATTCAGGTCGGGAATTCATGCTGGGAGCTCTACTGCCTTGAACATGGCATTCAGCCTGACGGCACCATGCCCAGGTCTTTTCCTTTTCGTGTTTTCTTCATATGGGTTTTGTCATGCTCTCTACCTGTTTGTCGGCTTTATTTTGTTTGAGTTATCACATTTCCGTTGCTGGATTGAAATCTCGGAATTCACTGCTTTCTTTCGGTTATCATTTCCCTTTGGGGAAAATGCTTTTTCCCTCTTGGACATTTTTGTGCTTATTAGGTTAGAATTCCTGTTTCGCCGACGATTCAGGGCTGGGTGTGAAGTTCTGTTTGACTATAATTTAAATTATCGTTTAGGGTATCGACATCGTTTCAGGATCTGGCTCTCCGTTAGCTCTTTGGTTGTTGCCTTAACCGATTTTTTTTTTGGCCTTTCATAAATGGTTTTGCAGTGACACATCGATTGGGAGTGAGCATGATTCCTTTAACACATTCTTCAGTGAGACTGGTTCTGGGAAGCACGTACCGAGAGCTGTCTTTGTCGATCTTGAGCCCACCGTCATTGATGAAGTGAGAACTGGGAGTTATAGACAACTTTTCCACCCTGAACAACTCATCTCCGGCAAAGAAGATGCAGCCAATAACTTTGCCAGAGGACATTACACTGGTAAGGATTCGTAAAATCAAATTTCGTAAGTTAAATCTAGGGATGGCGCAGTAGTCAGTCTATGCGTTTTCTCATTGTTCACTGACATTAAGTTACTACTCTGTGCTGTCAAAATGCTGCAGTGGGGAGGGAAATCGTCGATCTGTGCCTTGATCGAATTAGGAAATTGGCAGATAACTGTACTGGCTTGCAAGGATTTTTGGTATTCAATGCTGTTGGTGGTGGCACTGGTTCTGGTTTGGGATCTTTGTTGTTGGAGCGTTTGTCAGTGGATTATGGAAAGAAGTCTAAACTTGGCTTCACCATCTTTCCTTCTCCTCAGGTACAAATATTGCAACAAAGCCATCTGGGTCAAAGTAGATTAACAGGGGACCAGTTTGGTATTTTTCATTTTTTATAGCTAAAATCTTTCTGGATGTCAATTGACTTGGTGGCTGTTTCCAACTGATGCAGGTTTCAACTGCTGTTGTTGAACCTTACAACAGTGTGCTCTCCACTCATTCTCTCCTGGAACACACAGATGTAGCTGTGCTTCTAGATAATGAAGCTATCTATGACATCTGTAGGAGATCGTTGGACATTGAAAGACCGACTTATAACAACTTGAATCGCCTGATATCCCAGATCATCTCTTCCTTGACCACTTCCTTGAGGTTCGACGGTGCCATTAATGTGGACATTACAGAGTTCCAAACCAACCTTGTCCCTTATCCTCGCATCCACTTCATGTTGTCTTCATATGCCCCTGTAATCTCAGCTGCAAAGGCTTTCCATGAGCAGCTATCTGTTCCTGAGATCACTACTGCAGTGTTTGAGCCTTCAAGTATGATGGCTAAATGTGACCCTAGGCATGGCAAGTACATGGCGTGTTGTCTTATGTATCGTGGGGATGTTGTGCCAAAGGATGTTAATGCTGCAGTTGCCACAATCAAGACCAAGAGGACTGTGCAATTTGTTGACTGGTGAGTACATTTCCCATGGTCCAAGATCGGTCTTTCACCTACTGAATTGCTGACGCCTGTATTATTTACGCATGCAGGTGCCCAACTGGTTTCAAGTGTGGCATCAATTATCAGCCACCAACCGTGGTTCCTGGAGGTGATCTGGCTAAGGTTCAGCGTGCTGTCTGCATGATAAGCAACAACACAGCTGTGGCTGAAGTCTTTGGCAGAATTGACCACAAGTTTGACCTCATGTATGCCAAGAGAGCTTTTGTTCACTGGTATGTTGGTGAAGGCATGGAGGAAGGAGAATTCTCAGAAGCTCGAGAAGATCTTGCAGCGCTCGAGAAAGACTATGAGGAGGTTGGCGTAGAAGGTGCTGATGATGAAGAAGAAGGTGACGAGTACTGAAAAGAAAAAAAAAAAAAGACTTTTCCTAGAGGGGCATTACATAACTAATGTTTGATGCCCTTCTGTTTTATCTCTCATTTGGTTTCACGAGCTCTGTATTTTACATGTTGACAAACGTTGCTACTACTACTATGCTCTGTCGATGTCTTTGATCTTTTGAAGTGTCTGTCTCTGTCATTCTATTTTGTTTCCCTGTGCTGCTTATGCTGGTTTTTTGAAGTAGGGCTCTGTATATATATCCTTCGTTGATTTGAAAAAAGACGATAAAAAATCACTTCATACCTGCTCGTCCTAGCACATCATGCTTCTCCTTCCTGCAATAATTTGAACAAAAACTTCGTGGGATGACATACGTTGTTCATCGTCGGAGTTTCATTGAGAGAAGAAAACAACGGTTCTTATTTCTGGAAGTCTCATTGCATTAGATTGCATTCTAACCTGCGAAGGAGAAACTTACCATATTCTTACTTGCTTTGTGTATTCATATTAGAAATATACAATGTGGGTTGTGCTATTGTCCCTCGAAGATTCCATCTGGTTTTTTTTTTGGGGTTTATGCATCATTATGACTTCTGAATAAACAAAATGCTAACTTTGTCTCTTTTCCCTCCACTCAACCCTCCATCCTCTTAATAGCACTTTGTTAACAACATTGCTTCCACATTTACCTTTCTTATTTGGAATGGGCTTGGTCAACCTCAATTGATTGGCTGATGGATCAGTTGTTGGAGTTATCATTAACAACCATATATTCTGCTCCAAATGCTAACTGCCTAACACTGCAATTTCTATCTCAGAAATCTTCATTATTAAGCCTTGGAATAAATGGAAAGAGAACCAATATGAGAAGGGGGCAAAAAAATGTCATCGGTTCAAATTGCTTAATTTGGTACTGTTGGTGGTTTCAAGTTTCAACATGGTTCATACGCTGGATGTTCTTACAATGGTTGAGCTGGGTTTCAAACTCTCGATGATAGGGTCAGGATTTTTGTAGGTTTACAAATCGAGCTGATGTTCATGGAGTGTTTGCGGATTTTTCGGTCCATCATATTCATGCATTTACGATTCATGTAACGGTATTGATACTCACAAAAGGAGTTCTATTTGCCCGCAGCTCTCAAATTCCTTATATCTATCGAACAGTTTCTCTTGTCAATGGAATATCTATGGGGATAAGTTTGTATTGTTATTTACATATGAAGAAATCAATGCTCATGAAACCAGAGAGCCTGACAATCTCAAACTCTAATAGATAATTCTGAAAGCTGTACAAATAAGTTAATGGGGGGTTTTCGCCAACAGTTGTATATTCTATTATATGGGGTTTTTTTCATAGTAGACAAAGACTAAGAAAGGCTAATGGCTTTCGCTTTCATTGAAGATTAAAAAAAAGGGAATTTGTCCCTTCTTGCGTCATTTTCCTCACTGAATTGCAGCTGCTTCAGAAACTCTTTTACTATTTGTTCACAAATAAGTTGATTAATAAATCAAGAGGTACTAATATAATGTGAATGATTTTGATTGCTTAGCATTTCCATTCCGTCAGAACATACAATTTGGGCAAATTATATTTGTATTAAACACCAGATGGTGCAGTATGCTGCTCCCATTAGGTAGCTCTTTGCTGTCGACACTTTCTAGGATAAACAGCAGCAGGAAAAGAACAGTTAATAAAAACTCCATCTTCCGGGTCACACTCTCAAGTATGGAACATGAAAAAAGAAAAGAAAGGTTGGGGCATTTTTCCCCCCCCTGATTTTAAAGATGAATAATGAAGAAAAGACTTAGCAGAACAATGGAGGGAGATCCCATAAACCATCACTTGGGTCTCTCATAGTTTCCATGTACTCATGAACACCACTAATTGCATATAAAGAGGCTGAAATCTGTCTCTCCACTTTCATCCGATCGAATTCGGAGAACTGCAGCTGCTCATGATCACTTGTCCCAAATGCTGCTGCTGCTGTACTGCTGCAGTTCTGGTTCCTGGGAAACTCCAAATCAATTTCATTGGAAGCTGTAAATTGGAACCTGCTGTGATCATATCCGTTGTGATGATCAGGGGCAAAGCTCCATGACATTAGATCAGAAGGAGAAGTCGAATCAACATGCAACCCCCCATTGCAGGTGCTCAAATCGGGCTTGTACACGTCATCAAACAACCTCGTATCAGGAATCACTGCCTCGCTACTGCTCGAATTGTCATCACTCATGCTGCAGCAGCTGCTGCTTGTTATGCTGCTGGTGCTGCAGCTAGGGCTAATGCTAGCATGGACTCTTGTTGTTGTAGGTGGTAAGGGTTTGGTGGGGATGGTGGTTGGTAATTGAGGAAGAAGAGGACTTTCTTGCGCCTGAAGCTTCTTGGATTTCTTCTTTTCCAGCAGGTTTCTGATCCTGGAAGCAAGTGGGGAGTCAAAGGAGACATGAGTGATGAAATTGGTACGAGTATTGGAGCCACGGAGAAGGGTGGCAGCCTCGTCGTAAGCTCTTGCAGCTTCCTCGGCTGTCTCGAATGTGCCTAGCCACATCCTGATCTTCTTAGTTGTGTCCTTTATCTCAGCCACCCATCTCCCTGATGGCCTCTGCCTGACTCCAACAAACTTGTTATTGCTGTCAGTGTTGCAGTTCATAACTCTGCTTCTTCCCCTGCCTTTGCTTGTTTTGCTCACCATTGGAGCACTTGTAGTATCATTCTGCTGGAAATGAATCTCCATATCCTTTAAGATGGGAAAGATTTTGAAGTGGGGAATGAAGGGAGAGAAGAAACAAGTGGGAAAGGTATTGATAAGTTTTTTTTTCCTTCTTCTTATGAGAGAATGTGTTTTGAACAACTCCTTGTTGGGTGTTTGGCTATGAACATATTGGGTTAAGTGTGTGTGTGTATATATATGTGTTTGAGGGACAGGACAACTTGGAGAGAGTCTTGTCTGAGTTTTTTATGCTTGGCAAGTTGAGGGGGAGTAGCATGATTTCAGTTTTGTTTATTTGTATTTGGATACTGGAAGCTCTTATTGTGGGTCTATCCAACTCCTCCTTTCAATTTAGGAGAGACCAAGTATCAATCACAACATAAATTCTTTCTCCATCTCTTTTATTTTGCTTGACTCACCACTCAAATTACTGATTTGCCCCTACAAACCATGGTTTTGTTACCGGCTACTTGCAAATTCCTAGTCAAATTCTTCTTGTTATAATAAATTGAGGAGGTAACAAGGAAGCATTTACAAAAAGTACACAATAACTTCATTGAAATTGTTTCGGTTTTTACAATGTTAAAAGTAAGCAAGTTATAAAGTGGATGAATCTCGACCAAACATTCATTAATTTAGGTAAAGAGTATCTGGTTTCAGAAACACAAAAAATTATGTCACAATAAATTCAACCACAATGCTAGATGAGATCACACAATAATGAGAGGAAAAAAATGGTCACATCACGCTCACAAGTAGTAACTAAGCACCACATTATATGTGACTAGAACCGACAACCCTCAAATAAAACTTCTTCCATCATGAATTATCTAAGGAGTATACTTGGTTTAAGTAGCAAACATTCTTCCTTTTTCTCTAAAATCCTACTGGTCACCATTTACTACCCGATTGATTCGTTTCATTTGATTGTTTTGCCTAGACAAGCCACCACTAGGTTTTGCAAAGAAGGAACATGTCAAATAGAGGTGAGGCCATGAGGGACAAGGGACTTTTTGTTGTTGTTGTTGTTTTGAAACTCAGGGACTAGATGGTCATTAATGTTACATACAAAGTCTAAACTAGAATTGGGTCAGGCTCAAAGTTTACTAATCCCCTTCCTTAACCCTGTGATTGATATGCTAGGTTAAGTTCATTAGATTCAAAGAGAGCCCCTAAGGCTGCCACTTGGCGGCACCAAAATAAATCCCCAAACGAAACCCCCAAATCACTAAACTCCAACCCACTTAAAGCTAAGCTGAGCAGCGAAAATAGACCAAGTCTGTCTAGACACCCAATTGGGGGTGGCAAAATAGCAAAACACTCCCCCAACAATCTCATGTGTGCTATACTAGTACCCTAATGGAGCTTAGTTTGGGTGTCTCAATCACTTGCTCACATCATCGCCCTCGTCATCCCAAAAAGTTGATTTTGTTTCTTTCTTCCACAGAGAGGGTACTAATGAAAACAAGGTTAGGTATTAATATGAAATCATCAGGGGGACAACCACCCACTATCAGAAAAAGTAATGATGTCATTTATTTAGAAATAAAATAACATATGAATTTAACTTCAAATTTGATGGTGGGAAGATTGATTTTTATATCTAGAGAATTTTATTTATATAGTTTCAGAATCTCTAGAAATAGAAATTTATATATTGTTTTTACCATAGTAGTACTTCTCATCTAACCGTCGTGCGGAATTAAGGTAAGAAAGTAATGACAAGATGAGATTGTGAGTTTAGGTCTACTATGGATGGAGAGAGCTGTGGTGCTACTGCTAAGGTTATGACATCTATGAGTAAAGGAGTGAAAGTCCACTATATATGATGAGTTTTGTTTAGGGAGGAACGCTTTTATAGAGTGGTTTGGATCCAAGCACTATACTCTCTCAGAGCATAGAGCTGATAGGCAAGAGGGGGGCCTTAACCAGATTTAGTTAATCAAATTGGACGACAGAGCATAGTAAAGATTATTTTTTTGAATCCAAAGAACAAACACAGCATCAACTTCCACAATAACTGTACATGAGTAGTTTAAAGTGTCAATCTTATATGTCGTCCTAAACCCATCCATAAATATTACATAATGATTAACGAACGATAAAATGGATTGAAAAAGATCTGTCATTGTAATTTTTTCCTGCATCGCAAATTATGAGGGCTAGTTAGGGATGGCAATCAAACCCATGACCGCGGGTACCCGACTGCCCCAGACCAAGTCAACGCGGGTAATCCCCGCTTTGACCGGGTATGGGTAAAACCCGAAAAAAGTTTGATGGGTATGGCAATTTCGACCTGACCTGTTTTACCTGACCTGTCTGGCCTGTTTTGGGGCGGGTCCGACCCGCCTCGTAGATGTGGTGGGGCGGGTATGGGTACTCTCATCGACTCGACCTGCCCTGACCCACCCATTCTCGACCTGTTCTTGCCTAAATTACATGTAATCTTAGTCAAATTACTTAGGATTTTTCTTTTATTACATCATAATTTAGCTATAATAAAGTTGTAAATTAGGGAAAACCTCAATTTCTCTAATAATTTAACTACATTTATCATAATATTGTTTGTTTTCTTGGTCTTATAATAAAAATAACGAATATTTCTTATGTTTTCATATAAATTGCATACCCATTGGGTCGACCTGCCCCGACCTGCGATCCGTGATAAACTACCCGATCGGTACCTGACCTGCAATGGGGCGGGTCTGGGTACCAAGAAACCCGCCCCCGGACCTGCCCCATTGCAATTCCTACCTATACCCATGTCCGCCCCACCAAGAGAATTTTTTCACATATACAAAAATATGTAGATCAAATTGTAATCTATAAATGAAGATGATGATAACTCGAGGAAATAAATAGTAGAAATGCAATTGAGTGACCATCTTAATCAAAACCTAATTCATTTCCCTCAATTCTCCTTTCACTCTTTCATTTTCCCCCTTGTCAACAAGATTATGTTAGTTAATTATTACTTAGTAGATGTATCAGAGTTAAAACATAATAATTTGAAAAATATTATACTCTATATTATGTAACGAATGTTTTAGGATCATATTCTTTGAACCGTATTAAGAAAATGATCCTGTTTTGTTGAATTCGTGATATAATAGGTACGTTTAGAGTTGTAGTTAAAACTTTTCTTGTAAATTTTAGGATAATAATGTTGGATGTACAGGTACGAGTATTACCCATTGGTACCCGAAACCCACGGGTATGGGGATGGGTTTGCCAAACATTCCCGCATGGATATGGGTTTGGATATTTGAAAATTGGGATGGGGTTGGTTTAGACAAACCCGCTCCAAACCCGCCCATTGCTATCGCTAGGCTAGGCAAGCCTGGTGTAAAGAGAAGCCGAATAATTGAAGAGTTTTGATTAATGGATAGGTGAATACGAAAAATAAAGTATTGGCATTGACTATTTAGAGATCCAATAATTCTGTGTATTATGATTATTATATGTATGTATGAGAGAGGGCTTTGGTTTATGTTGATGTAGAATAATTATTGTACATAAATAAGACAATGGAGCTCTTTTTTGGCAGTGACGACATGATGAAAAGGTTAAGACTTAATTGGGATGGGGATTGATTGTTTAGGCACTGTTTGTTAAGGACGATTACACCATAAGATTCCCCACCTAAAACTATTGTTTAATTGCAAGTTTAGTTCTTATTAATTTGATTGCCCCTACATTATTTGACTATACTTAGGGATCAACTAACCCCACCAAAAGGAGAGCCAAGGGAATATACTTGGCAGAAGATACCCTCATAGTATGCTCTTTTTCTAACAAATGATTCTTGTTTGGCACTTCTAGAAATATGATTTCGAACCTGTCCTCCTACAACTTGTAGGAAAGCTTTATGCTAAAATCATCCCAACTTATTTGATTGATTTTGCGAAATTGATTGGAAAGCCCAATAATCGTTCTTGAATGATTAGGTTTGGAGACATCACAAGAATATGTAAGATGATAAACTAAATGTGCCAAATATGTTAGAAGACGTGCTAAAACATCCCGAGCCTGACAAAAGATGAAGCACTATTTTTGTTAGCTATGGATATTTTTGTTGCAAGACAAGCTGTTGATTGCTAGGGTCCAACCATGACAAAGTTAGAGAACCAGATAATTGTGTTACATAATTAATTGCATGTGGATTAGGTGTTACTTATCCAGATTGGTTACATGTTTCTTTTGCTCAAAGATTTGGAGTGGTTCATGGGAGCATGCGACTTCGAGTTCCTAGAGATCCACAAGAATTATTGGCGGTTCATTCACCAAAGGCACCATCGTCATTTCTATTATTACATCAATTAATTGATGGTGGATTCTACGGATGCTAATTAAGTGCCTGCCTGCAACTTTAGTTAGTTTCTTATTTGTTGAATTTGTATGTGTAGGAATCTTATTTGGGATAGAACGTTAGATGCATAAGACAACGGTGCTCTTTTGGCGATGAGGATATGATGACGGAAAGGGCGGGATGTTGATTGACTTTTAAGTTACTGTTTCATAAGGATCATTGCGTATAAACATATTAAACTTAACCCTCTCTAAACTGTAGAAAAGGTTTGAGATCGATTTGGGAATTAGGGTTCAAGAAGAACACCCGATTTCAGAGAGCAATTCGAGAGTCAAAGGAAGGGAAAATGATTCTCGATTTTGTACTCTGATAAAGTGGGCCGAATAGAACGGGCCCGAGTAAAACAATCTTAGGGAATATAAATCTGCCTTGGTTGAGTTTAAGGGAATGGGCTTGAAGCCCAGCCTTCTTTCTGTCGAGCACGAGTCACCAGACTCTGCTACACCTCAACTGAAACAGAGCAAGGAACAGAGTTCCTCAAGCTGAGCACTCGGATTGCAGAAAGTAAAGAGCAGAGAAGCTTAACGAACACATGACATTTTTAACGTGGTTCGCCCAAGTGCAATGGTCTACTTCCACGTCCCAGAATATGGTCTGGAGGCCTTTTATTAACTATGAAATCACGAACAGAAATAACCACAAAGCAAGAATCAATGTAGCAATAAGAAGAAGGAAATGAAAACCCAGATCGGTCTCCGATCTGTTTCTGCCTTGGCGAAAGTTGAACCTGTGCCTCAACCTTTCGCCAATCCCTTTTGTAATCCCAGAGCTAAGCCCTTTACTGCAATAGCTCCTGCAAAAG